CCGTAGGGGGGCGAGGGATAAGCCACGAGGAATTTCCATCCCAGCTTAATGCAATTTTGGGAGGCAGAATTCCAAACGCTTTACGAGGTTAATAGGATTTGAACCACCAGTTAGGGGAGGAGGAGGAGGAGGAGGAGGGTCTGATTTAATCTCATTATCCCCAAAACAAGCCTGGAACAAGAAAACAGACGCGAGGCTCGGAGCGAGGCAGGGGAAGCTGCGGAGCCTCCGTGCTCCTGAGGAACCTCGGGGAAGCTTTTCCAGGCTCGTGTCTTGGGAAGCTGTCCCCTCTCCCTGCAAAGACTGGGGGTAACAGTCAAAAGGCAGCTTTTTCCCATGGCCACACACGTTCCCACCTCTCTTGCAGAGCTCAAAGAGCTGGAAGGACCCTTTTCTTGAGGGAGGGGGCAGCTGCTCTGCAGAGGTTTGTTGATACAACCACGGAATCATGGAATATCCTGAGCTGGAAGGGACCCACAAGGATCACCAGGTCCAGCTCCTGGCCCTGCACAGACATCCCAACAATCCCACCCTGTCCCTCGGAGTGTTGTCCAAACCCTCCCTGAGCTCTGGCAGCCTTGGGGCCGTGACCATTCCCTGGGGAGCCTGGGCAGTGCCAACCACCCTCTGGGGGAAGAACCTTGTCCTGAGATCCCACCTGACCCTGCCCTGGCACAGCTCCAGCCCTTCCCTGGGGTCCTGTCCCTGGTCACAGGGAGCAGGGATTCCTGTTGCCCCTCAGGAGGAGCTGCAGACCCCACTGGGTCTCCCCTCACTCTCCTCCTCTCCAGCTGAACACACCAAGTGCCCTCAGCCCCTCCTCGTGGTTTCCCCTCCAAACCCTTCCCCACCTTTTTTTAGGCCACTGGACGCTCTCCCATAGCTTTGGATCCTTCCTACCCCCCCAGCTCCAGGCAGTCTCCTGGCAGGACACATCTCTGGCGGTGCTGTGCCAGCTCAGGGGACACCCCCGGGGCACAGGGGGGGCTGGCTCTGGTGCCAGGCTGGCTGCCACCCTTTGGGACACCCAGCACACGGCTGCCTGCCCAGGACAGGCGCTCCCAGAATTCCAATGAGCTGCAATGAGGGACAGAACCCTGCCCAGCCTCCTCCAGCCGCTTTTCCTCGCCAGGTTTCTTCCCTACGGACATTCCCAAACTTGCCCCTTCCACCTCTTGGCCACAAACCCATCGGTGTCTGAGCTCTGCCATCCCCTCACCTCTGTCCTCACTGCAATGAGTGTCACCTTCTGCATTCTGGGTCTCCACACACTGCTGTGGTCACCCACATCCTTTTCTATCACGACCAATGATTCCCACCAGCCTGGACTCGGATTTCTGCCTCGTTTCCAGGGAGGGAGGGTCAGAGGAAAAGGAGAAGTGCCCAGGAGTTTCATCCCTCCCAGAGCAGCCAGCCAGGCATCTGTGCCAGGCCCTGCTCGAGTCCAATCCCAGCACAGAATCCCAGACTGGTCTGGGTGGGGAGGGAGCTGAAATCTCACCCAGCGCAGACACCAGCACCGTGTGTGCAGCCACGGCCGCGGGAAGGAGCCGACCCAGCCCTGACAGTCCCCTCGGGATTCGGGATGAAACTCCTTCAGAAAAGAGCAAAGGCAGCAGCAACAATCCTGTCACTGGCACCTGGATGGGGCCTCCTGTGCCCCAGGGAGCCATGGGGCACCCCAAGAGCCAGAGCCAGGCCCGGTGCAGACGGGCTGGCTGGAGTCATGATGGGATTTACCGACACAAATGGCTCATGGGGCTTGAAAACAACATTAATCTTGCAAACCAGGAGGCTGCTGGAAGATTCAATTAGGTGTCCAAAGAGGAAAAAAACCACAGATTTATAGCCCAGAGCCTACTAACAGCCTTCCTGTCCCGGAAAAACAATTCCACGCTGAAGTGATCCGGCTCCCCGGAGCCGGCGGCAGAGCAAGAGCTGCCACAGACCCACGGAGCAGCCTGAGGGGGAAGGGACCCCCAGGGACCATCAAGTCCAGCCCCTGGCCCCGCACAGGACAGCCCCAGCCTCCCACGCTGTGCCTGGTGGGATTCACACCATCCCCCCTGTCACACCGGGCACACCGGAGTCGGGGTGGGCTGGGGGAGGACAGCAGGCAAAGAGGGGTTTGCACGTCCCATCCTGCTCACAGGCTCTCCAGGAGGATCCATGGCAGCTCTAGGCCACGGGCCCACGTTTCCACACCGTGGGTGCAATCAGCAGAGCAGCTCCAGCCACTCCACAGGGCCGCTCCCTGTAAATCTCCTTACGCACACAGAGGGCACAAGGCGAGGAACCTTCTCCCATCAGGCTCAGGATGAGCCAGGAGGCAGAAAACTCACCAACCCTGGCCCACGGGAGTGAGCAGGGCCGTGCCAGGAAAAACAAGGCCCGTTTGCCCTCTGCCCACACTCGGCTGAGGGGCGAGGAGTCACCCCAGCCTCGATGGTACTGATTAACCCGAGCCCTGTTTGCCATTTCTAAGGTCACTTCTCCGCTGGCAGCAGCAGGGATCATCAGCTTTGCCACGCTGGCAGTGGTAGAGCTGCACCCACCACAGGAGCTGATGGGTTTGGCTGCCACCAGGAGCAGCAGCAGGCAGGGAACAGCAGGAGGGATGTGGATGTCCCCCCTGTCTGCCCCAGCAGCAGCTCCAACACCAGCCCCTGGCCTCGCCCTGCCCGGGCTCCACTGGGCAGGTTTTAGACATCCAGCCAAAAAAGACCTTCAAAACACAGCAGAGAATCATGGAATGAGGTTGGAAAAGTCCTCTGAGATCACCGAATTCAACCATCCCCAGCACTGCCCAGGCCACACTGAGCCACGTCCCCAAGTGCCACATCCAGAGGGATTTTAAATCCTGTCAGGGATGGGGCTCCACCACCTCCCTGGGCAGCTGTGCCAGGGCTGGACAGCCCTTTCCATGCAGGAATTGTCCCAATATCCCACCTGAGCCTCCCCTGGCACAGCTGGAGGCCGTTCCCTCTCCTCCTGTCCCTTGTTCCCTGGGAGCAGAGCCCGACCCCCCCCGGCTCCCCCCTCCTGTCAGGGAGTCGTGGGGCAGGAAAGGTCCCTCCTGATCCCTCTTTTCTCCAGGCTGAGCCCCCCCAGCTCCCTCAGATATTCCTGCTGCTCCAGCCCCTTCCCAGCTCCCTTCCCTTCCCTGCACATGCTCCAGCCCCTCCCTGTGTCTCCTGTGTGAGGGGCCCAGACATGAACACAAGCAGGGTCTCGGCAAGGCCAGAGCCCCACACCATGTGCAAATTCACTGGGAAAACCAGATTCCTGCCCTGCCAACAGTCTCTGACACGGCCTTTGCTCTCACAGGCACCAGCTGGGAGATTCCCAGAATGGTTTGGGTTGGAAGGACCTTAAAGCTCATCCAGTGCCACCCCCTGCCATGGGCAGGGACACCTTCCACCAGCCCAGGTTGCTCCAAGCCCCGTCCAACCTGGCCTTGGACACTTCCAGGGATCCAGGGGCAGCCACAGCTTCTCTGGGCAACCTGTGCCAGGGCCTCCCTGCCCTCCCAGGGAAGAACCCAGTGAAGCCTCGCTCTCCAGCACAGCAGCTCCAGGCAGGACACACAGAG